CAACAAGACGGTTTCAACTTTATCCATCCGCTCATGAAGAAACATCAAAGCAGCGATAAAATCTCATTCATTGTTTCTTCTCCTCCAGACAGGAACTCATTAATGGGCTCAAGTCTGAAAAAAAAATCACATAACTTGATTTGTTTCTTATTTTATCCATTAATTATCCCTTCTAACAATAACACCATACCAGGTTACTCTTCTGTCCTTCCAAACATAACAAAGGCTGTTGTTGAGAAATACAGTTCCTTCACTATTTAAACTTACAGTTACTGCAGAAAAAAGAGACGTCTTTGTTGATGTAGTTTTTTTTTTTAAAACATTTATGGGTAAACATTCATGGTTGGTTCATGGTTAAAAAACACATGGACAAAAACAAAATCATTGATTTTTAGGCACTATACCAGCAGCTTACGCAAACATCTGATTCATCAGATTGGAGCAACACAGATGGACAAACAACATAAATGAAATTTTAGCTTCAATAGGATAATTCCAAAAGAGCTGTTTGATGAAAACCTGAAAATATAAAGTCGAAAATCACCTGGAGAATGAAGCATTTTTGCCTGTGACATTACTTTATTGATTTCCTGTTTCCTCTTTTCTGAACAGACACATTTCAGGTATACCGTTCCAGATCATTTTTACGTTCCTTAGGTATTTCTAAGAGAGCATTGAACAACAATAAACTCTCATACTGACATTTTACAATCAAAACAGCTTTAGAGGCCTGTTGTCAGGGTAATCACAGCAGATATGAAGATCTGGAGAAATCTGTCTGATTACATAATGCTCTGGTTTAGGTCCCACGCTGCCCACGTCCACCATCGACCCTCCTGATGTCAAACTCATCTTACCTCTTTTGAGATACATGAAGAAAAGCAGATTAAACCTAAATTAAACACTTTATACAAAACATGAATTGATGAGATAATATTGGTGGATGATAGTAGCTGAATTTATTTATTTTTTTTTATGCCAGCAGACACATGATCAGGTGTCTGAGCTCCCAGAAATTCACACTTTTTATCTAAACCTGTCTTACTTTGGAATTTCTCATTCAGTTAAATTAAGCCTGAAATGATTCATATTGGTGGAGTATTTTAATTTAAGCAAATGTTCATTCAGTTAAGAAACTTGCTATTGATAGGGCTGAGGCAGGCTTCTCTCAAAAGCTAATAAATGCATATAAAAACATAATTAAAAAACATATATATTCTAAATCAAAGATGTTGAAATTGTTTATTTTATTTACAACTGGGGAAATATGTTTATTGATATTACAGTAATCATTTTTTATTATGACTGTTGACCAACCTTGTGCATGCCCAAGCTTCTATTGATAATTGGATGATCGACCTTTGATGATGAGCTCCAATGTTGGATGGCTTCTTTCCATCACCCTAATTATTAGCTCCTTTTGTAGATTATCAGCTACGAGTTGAGTCTTTCTCTGGGACAATTCCACACGTTAACATTACTTTCAGTCAAAGAAAATCTTGGTAAAATTAGGAGATCAATTCCCAGTCTGCCAGACATATGAATACATTTAATTGGGGTTGCTGTGTTTAGTTTAAAGGGAAATTCTTCAAATCCATGTCTTGGTTTTCAAGCAGTCAAAAACATAAAGTCATTAAAGTCATGCTGCTTTAACTGCACATCAGAAGTGTGGAAGCAGAGTTTTCAAGAAACTAAATCTTCATAGTGATCATGGATACATACAGCTTCATATTACAAAATAATTATTACAGCAACATTAAACTTCAATTAAGGAGTCAAAATAGCCCCATATTGGACATAAACGCCTCTCTCCCAATGACCACTGGCGATTTACCAGTAACCCTGCATGGTAATCCAGGCATAGACATTGAGTAGATGGTTGAAATGCAATGCATGATTTATAGGTCAGATTGATGTAAACTGGCTCAGAGAAGAAAAACGTACCTCTAGAACTCCTGTAAAACATGGAACAATGGGCCAAAGGTGATTGTATTGGTTTTTGACTTCAGTTACCCCTAACTGTTTAAGTATCCTTTACGTCTACCCTGTACTCCAGATAGGTCTAAAAATGCGCTCTGCTTTTTTAAACTGTTATTTTTTACATTTTACATTTAGATACACGGAGAAATATAACTATAAATATAACTATATCCTTCTATGGATTCTATACATCATCTATCCCACTAAATCAATGTCAAATACACAAGTTGTATCATTATATTGTGAGATCTTTTTGTTTTTCTACAGATGAGACTGGTGAATTTTACAAATGACACATGAATGTCATTCTGTTTTGTTGATATTTGGTTTCTTTTCCATTTTGTGTTATTTTTGTTTTGCATTTTTCGAGTTACTCTCTGTTGCCCCCTTGTGCCTGTCTCCTTTCCCCTACAGTAGCTCCCCTCTAGTTACTTCTATCCACACCTGCTCCATATCAGCTCATTAGTCAATTCTTTGTTTGGTCCCACCTCCTCTGCAGTTATTCATTGCTGGTTTCTTGTTGTTACTTGGCTCCCCATGTGTGTTTTCCCCTGATGTCTCCTGGTTTTTGGTTCTTGGATTTTGTTTCTGTTACATTTTTCATTAAATCAGCAAACTCATCTCTGCGTTTGACACATTGATGCTGGTCAAATTGGAACAATAACCATCCAGAAAGTAAGTACAAAACAAAAAGACATTTATACAAATGTTGCAACCAGCAAAAACTCTCCTTTATAAAAACCAAAACATATGAAGATCTATACTTTTGCTTGTGTCACACAGAAATGAGAAATCAGTTCCAAGAAACTCTTAACCTTTTTTTTTTTTTTTTTACACAAAGTGAACAATTGAAGAGTGGGGATCAATGTCCTGTTGGTAGAACATAGTGTTCATTTTATAAGTCCAACTTAATTTGATTTAAAACAAAAAATAAAATTGTGTGCTATATACAGCTGGCATTGACATATAAATTACAAACAGTAAAACACAGTTAATTATTTCATTAAATTAAAAAACCAACAACCTATAGAATAAATAAAAGGCTGTAAATAAAAATAAAACAATACCTATATTAATACAAATTGCTTTTAAGAAAATAAGTCATTTATAAATTTGTGAGGACTGTCAGGTTTGATTTTTCTTATTTGTGTGTTTATGTCATTTTTCTATCATTTTAGAATCTCTGCTGGTAACACTTTAAATACCTGTTTGTTGATTTTGTTTAAATAATTTAAAATATCTTAAAGAAGTTAAATAGATAGAGGTAGATCAGTAAAAACATCTACATAATGATCTGAGTTTGAGTTTTTATTCATTTTCAAATACTTGCCTATATGATCTCATTCCAGTTTGTACCTACAGTAAGTTGAAGGAAAGTAAGTACCTTAGTGAAGAAGGGAATACTGGCATTCATGAACAACATGAAATGCACGGTGTTAAATAAACATATCACCAGAATGATTGACAATTAGGAGGACCTGTCATGAAACGAGGACAGATGGACCCAGTATTCAAGGAGAGACAGTCAGTAGGCAAGTTCAAAACGTTTATTAAATGAAGAACAAAACTAAAAGGGGAGCCCTTCACAAATATATTTTTTGTATGGCTTTCATTTACCAAATTTACTCAAATTCTATTATGTAAATAAATTCTAAGCATGGGGTTTACACCTTACCCACTTTAGTAACTTAAAAGCACCACATGTCTATATATGTTGTGAAACACCATGTAAAGTCTTAAAAACGTCTGAGTTAAACATACGGTAGCAGTTAAAGATCTTGGCTATTTAAGTTAATAATATCAACCAGCTGTTTGCTTTTTGTTTACCGGTGAGCAACAGTATCATTAGCAGATCATCTGACGTGTTAAAAAGAAAAAAAACAAACTTTCAAAAAGCAAAACACCGAATGTAGAACCTTAAGTTACAACAGCACAGAACTTTTATTCATTAACAGCCAACTTACTTTTATAAACATATTTATATATATTTATTATTTATATATTTATAAATGTAATACTACATTTTTAATCTTTTACCAATTCATCCCAGAGAGAATAAGTAAAAATGTAAATAAATAAAACAAGAAAATACAATTTTGTGTCTAAACAAAATTGCTAAAATCCATTAAAATCAAACCAGCCAGACACAATAGTTTGGATACCTCGTTCAAATGGTAAAATATTAGTGTTGATTTTTGTGATGGCTTTTGGATAATATGAGGAAATCCTGCTGTGTGTGGCATGTTTGTGATGTAGTCTGCTCATAATGAAGATGGGACAGCTCAAACCTCAAATCCAACAGGTTGGATTATTTCTCTGAGTGTAGTGTTTCGCCAACAGGCGGGGATGTAAAACTTTTAATGTGACATGCAGCCAATCAGAAAGCACCACCTGAGGAAAACGCCTTTTCTTAATCTTTTTTTCTCCAAAAACTAGTCTACAAAGCATCTTCACTACTTGTCCATTGTTGAGCATATTTGTTCAATCTGATCTTATGTCTGATCATAGGATTTTTTTCGGTTTTACCATCTAACATCTGAATTTTCCTGAATGAAACCATTTCATGTGTGGTGTTTTGTGCTTAATGTGTGATGGTCTCAAAAGTTTAAAAAATCCCCCAACAATTTTCAGATCTACATTGTGAACCACTCATAAGTGCTTAAGCATAAGGCAACTTAACTATTTTTCTTGTTAAAGGCGTTTTACGTCTTATTCAAAGGACCTATTTAGTTCTGAAAAATCAAAGAGGAACTTCTTAAGAAATTGAGAAATCAATCCAACCATGTTCTACTCTAGCTCTGGTAAAACAATCATAAATTTGGTTTTGATGCAAAAAAAAGGTTTAAAAAAAAAAATCAAAAGATTACCAATAATACAAAGTATTAAACATTTGTCTTCTAATCTATAAAACCTAAACTTCTTAAACACTAATTCTTTTTCATCATGAATTTTCCTCTTTGAGGCGATACATTAAATGTCTTAAATCTCTGGCTATATCACATTGTATTCTTGACTGCTTGTTACCAATTATTTTCAGCTGCAACATGATTAATATTTACGAAACATAGTAAACATGACTTTGAAAAGATATTCTGAGAACCTTTCTTAGTTTTTAACTCAGGTTGCTGTGGAAGCTGCTTCTTCCTCTGAGGGTCTTGTCTCAATGTTGCTGACCGTGTTCACAGCCTGAATCACATGCACCCTGTTCTCCTCCCTGTTCTTCCTTGAGCAGCTGAAAACCTTCTGAAAACCTTTGCGGAAATGCTTGGAGACGAGTGCGTAGACAATGGGATTGAGGCAGGAGTTGGCGTATGCTACCAAGTGGGATAAGATGCGTAAGGCGTAGGTTGTGTGGTTGAGCTTGAAATGTCCAAACCACATACAGAGGATTATGAGGTGATGAGGAAGCCAGCAGAGACAGAAGAGCGCAGCCACGATCAAGATCATTTTGGTGACTTTCCGCTTGGATCGTCTTGTTTCTGACTTGTCCTTGACAGGATCCACACTGGTCCATAGGTAGCGGATAGTGCGCGCATATGTGAGGCAGAGCACAAGGACAGGAAGGAGGTATCCAAAGATGAAGGTGCACAGATCCATTATAAAGCGAGGTTTGGGCTCCCAGGTAGGAATGCAAAGCATGGTGCCATCAAGGTCCATCTGAGAGAAGTAGCTGAGGTACGGTGTAGAAAAAACCAAAGCCAAAGACCAAAGCAGGCAGATAGAAATGAGGGCATTCTTTGGAGTTCTCATCTGCCTGGAACGAAGCGGGTAACATATGGCTAAATACCTGTAGAAACAGATTGAAAACTGTTGAATAAAGGGACGATTAGAGGTTATTTTGTTTGTGGTGCTCTGAGAAAATATTGAGCCTGGTGGTCAAAAAGAAAACCAAATGTCATTAAAAACAGACCTTGTTTTAGCTGTTGTAACCAGACCAGATATAGAGACAATGCTTTTTCCCCAATGACCAATGACCTCAGTATTAAAATGGCACAATCATTTTTTTCAAAGTGAATTGTGACCTAGAGTGAGCCACATTGTTAGAAGGGAGCATGAAGGAATGAGAGACTACTGTTGGTTGGGATTCCAATGCTGTTTTAGAGATGACAATGTTCTTCGAAAACTTGGATTTGGAAAGTTGATTTACATGGTCAAACTTTCCAATAAAAATAAGAATCAGTATTTTTTTTTTATCAACACACTCTGCTGTCATAAATTGCACAAACATTTTTTATACTACCAGTGGTTTTCGAACATTATTCAATTCAGGCTGGTTGATAATTTTGCTTATGAGAGAAAATATGAGCTTACATTTTTAGAAAAGGCTGAAATTACCACGCTATTACTGTAGGTCCCAAAATGTACAGGCTGAACGAAGAGTAAAAGACTTTCACAGCAAAAACTCCCCAGTATAAAAACAACAAATTCTGATTTTAGAATCCAATTAAAGAAGGATTTAACTTGACAGGCTAAAACAAATTTGTGACATTTTGGGGTCAAACAAATGCTTTTCAAATACCAGGTTATAAATGATAATTCACTACAAGAGATTGTTTTAAACTGCTAAATAGCCAATTTTACCAATAAACATTTTTTTTTCTTGTTACTTCCAAAATAGATTTTATTTCAATTCCTATCAGTTAATTCACAATAAATTTATCAGATTAAGTAATCAATTTAATACAAACATACAAATATATTTTTGTATTGATTTTCTTCAAAATAAAGAAAGTGTCAATATCTAATGGAGTAAATAATTGCTTAATTTGATCAAACTGCAAAGATAAAAGAAAATGTGATAAAAATGGACAATGTTAAGATTTCAAAATAAAGTTCAGTGATAGTATTCCTGATAAAACCTTTATTTTTAAAGGGGAGTCTGTTGCCATAGGTTCCTCATTAATAGTGGAATTATAAAAGAAATGATGATGATCTATAAAAACAAAACTTAAATATATTCTTAAAAATAAAAGCCTTACAATCACAGTATTATTTAGAGAGGGAGGTTTTATCTTAATATTGCCTATATAAAGAAGTAATTAAAAAGGGATATAGCTTTTAAAAATAAACTTTTAAACTCTCATAAAAAATAAAACCCTTAAGTGAAGATGTTGTAAGTAAGAGACATTCCCCATTATTCTCAAACACTTAAAAAGAAGGAATAAGGAAATAATGTTCTGCCTTCAAAATAAGGGACACAGATTATCTGTGTTTTGTTTTTCCAGGGGCAAAAGCAGAGATGTTTTAAAACTACACGTTTGAAAAGAACAAGGCTTCTAAGGGTATCACAGAACATCAATCCAGATCAAAAGGATTCAATTTGAAATTATCCTACTACATTGATTCAAAATAAAAATGCAGACATTAGTGAGCATGTGATCTATTATGTACTATTATTATATTGCCTGAGAAGCGCCCCACGGTCTTTGCTCAGAGACCCGGAGTGGCAGTCTGTGGGAGTGGGGCTTGAACTCAGACCCTCAGGATTCCAAGCTCCATGCCCTAACCACCAGAGGTGTAGCCAGAACATTTTTATAAGGGTGGCCAGGCAATAACTAATGTACACTAAGGGGCAACCAAAAGTGGATAGGCAGCAAAACTTCATGGTCGGTCTACACTGTTCCTACAGGAACATTAATGAGCAAAACATCCATATTTTCTAAATAAAGACAAGCGATACTTTCCTACAGCCTTTGCTAAAAAATAGGTGAATATATTCAAACATCCGTGCTTTCTCGATAAAAGGTATAGTGGATAAAACTCTTTCAGGTTTGAGTTTGGGGCGAATCTTGGGCGATCTTTTCCATTCTCATTATTTACCCACTTTTATCAGTACTGTAATCATTCTGCATACGATTGATATTTATAAGTACTAATATCTACATAAATTGATAGTTTTATATGTTTTTATTAAAATAGTTATTTATCTATGAAATCACTGAAGACTCCTAGATGACTTGCAGAGACATCCTTTTTCCTTTACCCCATAAAACACAAAATCTATTTCTGCTTTATTTCTACACTTATCTTTAATGTTACTATATTGATGCACATAATTACCCACAGTTTTTTTGTTCTCAAGTAAATGTTAATATATGAAAAATTAAAATGTTTTGAATATTCCACTTAAGAGGATTACTGTAGCCACTGTCTGTATTAGAGGGAAATAAATGGTAGGGGTGGCCATAGGGGTGGCCAATGATTGGCTAAGGGTGGCCATGGCCCCCCCTTCTAACCACTAGGCCGCCACTCCCCCCATTATATATTACTAGAAAATTAGAATAATCTTTCTTTAAATTTAAATGCATAATGCCTGGAATAAATACAACGGTTAAATCACTTTTTAGAGGTTTTTGTGAGTTAATAATGATGTAAATTATGTTAGAAGGGCAGATGATACTGATCGCAAATTTGTAAATTAAACTGAATTAAAATGCTATTTTGACGTACCGTGTGATATTACCAAACATCATCATCTGAACAAATTATCCTATCACTAGAATCTACCTATATTTTTAATGTTTGGCTACAATTGAGTGATTAGCTACTGTTTTTATTAAGTTACATGGCTGCAATGGCGTAACGACACAACAATAGGCCCGTAAGCAACATTATTTGGGTGGGCCCCATATGAAGTACAGCACCCATTCCCATTTAGGAATTTTTTTTTGTTCTTCCAGCAGCTCTTCTTTGCTTTTTCTTTTCTGGAATCCATTTAAGTACGTAATTTTGGTATCCATCGTTGCTAACACATTGTACGTAACGGTTATGGTTTCAATCTACTCTCTGGATTACCCATAATTCCAAGTTCTATTGTAAAAAATAAAATACTCGAATACATCGTTCTTTTAAGATCTTTATTGTGATTTGAAACATATTATATTAGTGTAATTTTTACCAACCGTCTAATGAACTATACACAGTTCTTAACATAGTAATTAAAAGTACCACTGTCTGCTTTGCTGTTTAAACGGCTCACCATCATGTTGAAATCTGACACATGTTGGGGTATAAATAAGGTTCGATTATGCAATTTAGTATCAGGTGGAACAAGAATTGTTTTCACACTATTACATCTGCAAAGGGATGTCCTAGACCTAGAGTATAATTGCGTAGGGGGCCCCTAAGAGATGGAGGCCCTAAGCAACTGCAATCTCTGTTTACAGATATTTACGCCATTGGATAGCTGGACAAGACATACCTATAATTCTTTAGTATTTTGTATTAATTAACTCTAATTCTTTAGTATTTTGTATTAATTAACTCTAATGTTAATAAGTTTATCATTAGCGATGAGAAAACATATTTTATTCTTAAAGAGGGGGTTCCTCTTTAATCACTCTTTTATCACTTCTCAAACTCAGCTGACTCTCCTGGAGTTTGAACATTTTCCTCCTTGATTGCAGCTTTCAGGCAGTGATTGAGGGTATTTGATACTTTATGCTGGGCTGAAAATCGGTACATATTGATCCTGAAGGTTTAAATGTGGCAATAAAAAAACATTTTTTATTGATATTTCCTCCAACTTAACAGATTTATTCAACTTCAAACCATTAATGATGCACGCACATTTAATTTTTTTTATTTGATGTGGATTTGTCTAAGTTTTGTTGAAAATCCCTGCTTCTAAAACTTACTCATTTAAGTTCACATTTACAAGATAATCTATAAAATGCTCATAAGGTTTGCAGAGTTGCGCACCTGTCCAGGGAAACGGCAGTCAGTGTGAAGATGCTGGCGTACATTGTGAGGAAGATGAAGAAGTGCACGGCTCTGCAGAGCACCGGACCGAACATCCACTGATCCAGGGTGTAAATGGTGGCTTGAAACGGCACGCAGAATACAATGAAGCAGAGATCAGCCATCCCAAGGCTGAAGATGAACATGTTGGTGGTCTTGGTGCTCATCTGGCCATTGCGACACAGAACTGCGAGGACCAGAGAGTTCCCCGTGATGCCGAGCAGAAAGATGAGGGAAAAACTCACGGAAATCAATACGGACTCCGCTTTCCACTCAGAGGAGTTTGTGCAGGACAGATTCATATTTCTCTTTGGCTTTGGGTCAGTTGGTTTGATGTGCGCGCACGGGCATTAATGCGCAGCTCTCATCGCTCATTACGCACTGCACCCAGACCACAGGTCCAGATGGATTTAGCTGAATAACACCATATGCCACAGAGAGAGAGAGAATCCCAGCATCTGATGATCCCAGACTCAAGCTGCCTAAACATTTGTAACATAAACTGAGGTATATTCAAACAATTCCCAAACTGTTCTGATGGGTTTTGCGCGTTAGAAGTTATGCGTTTGGCTTCAAAATGCAAACATGTCCAAAATAACACCCAGAAAGACAAAGCAATAAACAAGCTATTATTAATGTTGGTTAATTATGTTTGTTGAATAAATTGCCAACAAAAAGTGGTTTTGAAGCAGCAAAAATGAGGATTAATTGGCTTAAAAACTAAAACAGCATAAGTCTGTCACCCTGTGGACATACTGCATCATTACAAAGGCAATAGAAAACCATTTTGTGACGTATTTAACCCTAAAATTTTTGTATACTTCAAACTTCATGAGGTATACATAGGCTACATACTGTACTCCCTCCACCTTAAATAAGAAAGTTAAATCGTTATTATTCACAAGGGGGTTCTAAGATGCCTTCAAAAGGTTTTCTAGTCATGTCTATATAGGGAGACT